CCCATGAAGCATGATGGATCTGTGCGCATCTGCGCCGACTACAAATGTTCGATCAATAAGGCCCTTTCGCAGAGCGCATACCCAGTTCCAGTGGTGCAACATCTGCTGCATTCACTTGGGAGTGGGACAATATTTGCAAAACTGGACCTGGCCCAGGCTTACCAGCAATTGCCAGTGGATGAAAAAACTGCGGAGGCACAAACGATTGTCACCCATAGGGGCGCATTTAAGTGCAACCGCCTCCAATTTGGAGTCAGCGCAGCCCCAGGCATTTTTCAATCAATGATGGAACGCCTTCTCCAAGGCATTCCAGGGGTGGTGCCATACTTTGATGATGTGTTGATCTCCGGACACTCTAAAACCCAGCTGCTTGAGCGACTTAAACAAGTCTTGCGGCGCTTCAAGGAGAAGGGTTTAAGAGTGAGGAGGGACAAATGCATCATTGGGGTCCAGGAGGTCGAGTTCCTGGGCTATCTCATAGATGGCACCGGCATCCACCCCACCAAAGCTAAAGTCAGGGCAATCCACGAAGCTCCAGCCCCCAAAAACAAAGCCGAGCTTCAAGCATTTTTGGGATTGCTAAATTTTTATGCGGTGTTCCTTAAACAGAAGGCAACAGCCGCTGAGCCACTCCATCGATTGCTGGGGAAAGCGGTTCCGTGGAGATGGGGGACAGAGGAAGAGAACGCCTTCAAGACCATCAAGGGGCTCCTATCCTCCGACAGCGTGCTGATCCAGTACCACGAGACGCTTCCGCTGCTACTGACCTGCGACGCTTCTCCATATGGGATTGGCGCAGTCCTCAGCCACCAGCTCCCCAACGGATCAGAGGCACCCATCGCCTACTTCTCTAAAACGATGTCCAGCACCGAGAGGAATTACAGCCAGCTGGACAAGGAAGCCTTGGCCATTGTGGCTGGAGTCAAGCGCTTCCATGAGTACCTATATGGCCGGAACTTCACGGTCATCACTGACCATAAGCCACTCTTGGGACTATTAGCGGGTGACAAACCCACACCTGGCTACATGTCGCCCAGGATGACACGCTGGGCCATCTTCCTCGCCGGGTATGCTTACAGACTCATTCACAAGCCCGGCAAAACCATCGGGAACGCAGATGCCCTGAGTAGGTGCCCGTCCAAAGAGCCAGTAGAAGACCCCGCACCCACCATAAGCCTCCTCCACATCGACGCCGACAGAGACTGCCCAGTGACGTCAGCAGATGTGGCCACCCATACACAGAGGGACCCCATACTCAAGCAAGTGAGATCCTGGGTCCTGCGAGGCTGGCCAGCAGAAAAACCGGCAGAAAAGTTCAGCCCTTTCGCACGGAAGCAACAGGAGCTGTCCACCATGAAAGGCTGTATCCTATGGGGAGACCGGGTGCTGATTCCCAGCGCCTTACAGAAGAAAACGCTCGAGACGCTCCACAACGGACACCCGGGCATCGTAAGGATGAAAGGACTGGCACGGAGTTACGTCTGGTGGCCATCCCTGGACAAGGACATTGAAGAGTGGGTCGCCAGATGTGACCCGTGCCAAGAGGTACGCCCCGCCCCAGCCCAAACCCCAGTGTCAGAGTGGGAGATGCCCAGCAGCCCATGGGCACGGATCCATATTGACTTCGCGGGTCCAATGCAGGGGCACTACCTCTTAATCGTTGTGGACGCTTTCTCCAAGTGGCTAGAGGTCATCCCCATGGCATCTACCACTTCCGAAGCCACCATCAGGGCACTCAGGCGCCTATTCGCAACACACGGGCTGCCGGATGTCCTAGTCTCTGACAATGGCCCACAGTTAACATCCAAGGCCATGGAAGAGTTCCTGGCGGGACTGGGCATCCGCCACGCCCTCACCGCATTTTACAGGCCAGCCGGAAACGGTCAAGCGGAACGCATGGTGAGACTCACCAAGGAGACGCTCACCAAGATGGGTCCGGGCGACTGGCAAGAGAGGATTGACAACTTCCTCCTTACACAACACATCACCCCACATGCCACCACCAAGAAGAGCCCAGCTGAGCTACTGATGGGCAGACGCCTGAGGTCACCCCTGGACCGGCTGCACCCCCAGTATAACCCCGAAGTGACAGCAACGGCCAGCCGGCCGCTCCGCGCCTTCACCATAGGAGACCCGGTGTTTGCGCTTAACTTCAACGGCTCTCCGAAGTGGCTAAAGGGGAGAATAGAAAGCACAACCGGCCCGAAGTCCTACCGAGTCGAGCTGGAAGATGGACAGGTCTGTAGACGGCACATCGACCAGCTTCGGAAAAGGTGGAGGGGATCGGAAGGAAACCAGCCCGACGGGGTAGGCCTACCACACCCCGACGAGGTAGGCCTACAACACCCCGACGAGGTAGGCCTGCAACACCCCGGCAGAGCAGACCTGCAGCACTCCGGTGAGGTAGGCCTACCACACCCCGACGAGGCAGGCCTACAACACCCAGGCGAGGCAGGCCACCGACCCCCCGACGAGGCCGGCCAAGCACATTCCCATGAAATCTCTCAGCGACGATCCAGAGCGGTAGACCGGGACCTGTCACAAGAGGGATGGCACCCCCAACCCGGCAAGGTGGGCATCCGCCACTCCATGGAGAGGGACCGCCACAACAGTCAAGGGGTAGACCGGGGCCCACCCAGGGAGGGGGGATCGCACCCCTCCAGCGACGAGGGCCAACAACGGCCCTGCCAGGGAGACCAACGCTCCAGACAAGTAGACCGGGGACAACCACACGGGGGAGGCGCACAACAGGCAACCCAAGCCGGCCAGCGACCGACCGGCAAGGGAGACCCCAACCAGCATCCAGACCGGGTCGACCAACACCAACCCTGCAAGGTCGACCAGCACCACCCCAGCAAGGAAGGCGCACACCACCCAGGCCAGGTCGAACAGCACCACCCCAGCGAGGTCGGCCAGCACCAACCCTGCGAAGCCAGCCAGCTCCAACCCAGCCGCGGGGATGAACACCACCCCGGCGAGGTCGACCACACGGGACAGCGACAGCGACGGGAGCCCAACGAGACACCCACGGACTTACCGGGTTTCGGACGGCACCCACCGGACAGCAGCGTTGTCCCGCCGCGAGGTTCCAGATTCTCCAGGCGAGGGAAGGACCAGCGACTCCAGCGCGAACGTCCAGATGTTGCGGCCGGAGGTGCTGGGACGGATCCCGCACACTCGACGGCCGGAGCCCCGGCCACCCCCACCGGGGAGCCGGGAAGGACAGGAGCTTCGCCCGCACAGGCCGGCGGCGAAGCTCAGACTGAACTGCGCAGGTCATCTCGGGCAAGCAGGCGCCCCGCCTACCTGCGTGACTTCGTAACGTACATTAATTGTGATGGACATTTTTCAGACTAAGGGGGGAGGAGTGTTATGTCCTTATATGGGCACCCGCCGGGGATTGGCTAATCTTCCGGCGGGAGATTCAAATAACTGTCAGTGGGCGGCTGAGTCTGCCGGAGCGTATAAAAGGAGCTCCGGCAGCCCAGCCGCTTGTCTTTTTCCTGTGCTCGAATAAAGTACTGAACTGGACCCGAGCTGGTCGCGTCTGCTTTCCCTGCGCCGATCTAACATTCTTGACCAATTCCGGTGAGTGACTCTAAACCAACCTGAACTTTGAAAAGTTATTCAGATAATCAACAAGAAACCAGCTCTTGCCTTGACCGGTTAAGAAGAATCTGTGACCGTATGAGGATAATTTTACTTAAATATTTATATATTTCTGTCCAAGCCCAGGAAATCTTTTGGCCTCGTTGAGGAGCTACTGGTACTGCTCGGTTTCCACTGGCACTAATATCTAGAGCTGCCATTTTAAATTTTTACCAATGTCCCCCATTTCATTAAGGAATATTTAGGGATGAAGATTTACTGCTTTTTCTTTTCTTTCAGAATCCAGCCAGGGTGTTAAATGTTAAATTTAATTGACCATTTTTTCCTCTTTTTTGCACACTATTTTGTTTTCTTTTTTGTTGTTGTGAGGGTTGAATGTATGCTTTTGTTTTATTTTATTTTGCTTGTTTGTTTTACTGTTTGGTATTTTATTTTTTTATGATAAAATAATGAATAATATTTTTTAAAAATGGTCATTTAGGCTCATTTTTAACTGTTTTGAAGGGCTCAGAACAGTGCATTTTGGGGGCCCTTGAGAAAAAATTAAAAATGGTGGGTTATTATTACTGCCATGAGATATGCCTGCAGCTGGAGGCTCACTGATGTAGGAGGATACTTTGAGAAAGGTATCAATTTCTGCAAGACAAAAATGAAATGTCTTTTTCATGGCTGACAACCCTCCTAACATCCAAATATCTTGTTTAACATATAAGGTTTTAACATTTAATAATAATAATAATAATAATAATAATAATAATAATAATTATTATTATTATTATTATTATTATTTTATTTCTATACCGCCCTTCTCCCGAAGGACTCAGGGCGGTGTACAGCCAATTTAAAAACACAAGACACAACAATAATTAAAAATTAAAATAATTAAATAGATTTGGCCGATTTAAAACCCCAAAAATTAAAATACCCCAATTTAAAATTATTATATTGACAGCCCTGCCTGGCGGAACAACAGGGTCTTCAGTGTGCAGCGGAACACCCGGAGGTCGGAGATCTTACGTATTTCCGGGGGCAGTTCATTCCACAGGGTTGGGGCTCCCACAGAGAAGGCCCTCCCCCTGGGTGTCGCCAGCCGACATAACTTGGCTGATGGCACCCTGAGGAGACCCTCTCTGTGGGAACGGACTGGTCGGTGGGAGGCTATTGGTGGCAGAAGACTGTCTCTAAATTATTCTTACAGAGCAAAATAACAATGAAGCCCCTTTGTTTTCATATTTGTTTTCCATATGTATCAGATGATCTAATCCCAACTTATGGAACAAAATTTATTTAACCTTAACCCCAATTTTGTTACTAATAGATGCACGTGTGCTAGGTAGCTGGCATTCTGGCTGTTTTTCTGTAACTAACCTTGCGTTTCTGATTTTATTTAGGCCCTCACACAAAAGTGGTCCGTCGAATATTCACAAACAGCCGCGAGAGATGGAGGCAGCAGAACGTCAATGGAGCTTTTGCTGAGCTTCGGAAGCTCATCCCAACTCACCCACCTGACAAAAAGCTCAGCAAGAATGAAATATTACGCCTAGCTATGAAATACATCAACTTCTTGGCCAAACTGCTCAATGACCAAGAAGAGGAAGGGAACCAGCGGGGTAAAGTACACAAAGAGACTGGCATAGTGCAAGAAGACCTTCTTCAGGACATGTTGTCCCCAAATTCAAGCTGTGAAAGTTCATTAGATGGAGCAGGAAGCCCAGACAGTTTCACGGAGGAGCATGAAACGTTAGATCCTAAGCATACAAGAGGCCTCCATCATTCCCTTCTTCCCATTGAGAACAATGCCCAGCGATGATGAACCAGCACAGAGCATCCCAGAATACCTGATGTCTGGATTGTATGCATGTCCTCCCTTTCTTCTTCCTTCTTCTTTATCTAAGACAGAGCGAATAAGGGGTACTTCCAAGTTTCTTTTCAACTTGAACAAATTGACGGAAATAAAGAATGAGTATCCAGGTGTACAGAACAATTTCCTGCTTATGTCACCAGTGAAACATAGGCCTTGCTAGTTGCGTTTTTGAAAAGTTTAACACAGAAGGGCTGAAATATGCAGGCAGCTCATTTTGTGTTTGTTTGAGGTTTACAAAAGGATTGAACTGAGACTTCATCCTTTTGCTGATTACCTATGCTCTTGTTTTGCCTTGTCTCTCAGCTGTTTGGACCCAAGCTTCTTCAGTTCTGTGTGGCTGTTGACATTGAAATTTTTTCATGTTGTATGGTGTTCTTTTCCAGGTATCTTTGAGGAAATGTACGCAACTCATTTACCTTCAGACCAGAGCTTTGGTGAAGTACTATTTGTGAGAACACATAATTTTCATTCTGGCCTTTTGTTTCCTTTCTTTTCAAAAACACCTCCATTCATTTCTCACAGGTTTGAATTGTTTGAGGTCTTGTATTTCTGATGTGGATTTAAAAGGAATGCTAATGTGCAGTATTTGCTGAAAAATAAAGGTACACCATTTAAGATTTATTTCTCAACTTTTGACACTTCATCAGAGGGATGTTTCCTTCAAGCATGGCTAAGCAACAGGGTCCTTGAAGGTTTACCGTCAGTTTCCCTGGTTTTATCTTCTCTGACAAAAGTGTAATGAGAAATGTTGTTTGTGTGTATTTATATGTAAGGCTGGTACAAACAATGTTTCAGTAATGCACTTTGACTTGCTTAGATTTACATATATTAAGGTGATAAGGCACAATCCAAATGGAGCTTCTTCTTCACAAGATCCATGGAACTAAATGGGAAATCTCCATGGAAAATCCATAGAAAGTTGTGTGTTACATGGCTGTTTAGTAAATGTGGTACATGCTGATTGCTCCCAACTGTACTATGGTCCATATATAGGAGTTTTTGCAGAAGAAGCTCCTAGAGGACAATGCTCAAGTGGTACTTTTCTTTCCAAAATTTGCTTGGTTCCAGAATGAATTTGCATTCTGTTGGGTATTGTAATTCTGTGAACAGTGGTATATGCAGCAAACCACGATGATGCCAAAACAACAATATGAACATGAGTTTGCATTATGCAAATGTGTCATTATGTTCTATTGTCCCAATGTCTGATACAAATATGTTAGCCACATTTGTGTGACAACAGTGTCACACAGTTTTGTCATTTCCCTTCCTTGCTTCTCTGCAGTTGCCTAAATGACTGTTTTCTGTGCCATCTACTCTGTCTCTCCAGCCATTCCCTCACACTGGTGCAGCTAATCATCTGAAGTACCTGTTCCACCTTGTTTTCCCCTCTTTACCATTAAAACAATGGCAGTCTACATTATCAAGGGAGGACTGCTGAAGATTGTGAAATTAGTTTGAGATTGGTTTTGGTATAATATTTGTTAGTTACAGTCAACCTTTATTTCTGTGGAGTTTGTGAAATCATGGTTATTCATTCTTGGATAGTTTTATGGAAACATTATATTTTCCAGATATGCACCTGAGATCTTAAATATATAAGCAAACAAGTGGAATGTGAATTTGTTAAACAAAGTGTCTGAAAATGCAAGTATGATTGAAGTACCTATGCTGGGAAATTACATTTGGTTGACCTTTCTAGATTTGACTTTATGTTATAAAAAACAACAGCAATTTTAGTGATTCAAGGCACAATTCAGAACTTTATATGTTCATCCATTGTTGACTATGAAGGATGCAGTGTAGAAAATGTAAGGAATACTTGTTTTTCCTTCTCGGTTGTAGTGTTTGCCTTGTTAATAAAAAAATTATGGTTGCTTGGGCATTCAGACAGATGTATACAAGGTTTTTTCCCCTATCACAGATTGTTCATGAATTCTCTGATATGTGTATATGTGTGTTTGTTAAAAGTATTTTTCTATTGAGCAAACAGTTTTGAAAAAAGAAATATTGTCTTTTGTTGTTCGTATGGGTGGGAGTGAAAGACACATTGCTTCATGAGCTGCATGTTGTTCCAAAAAGATTCAAAGGTATTGTGAATAATGTAAAAGTTATTACTGAGGAATAAATGGCTTATTAACCATTGCTTATTATTAAAGCCTCTCCCTTCAAAAATCTAGAAACAACAACAATAACAGGAAGGGATCTATAGACTGGAAACAGAACTTGGAAGTCAAATTAAAGCAATTGGAAAGTATCTGATTGTGACTTTCTGAGATGGTGCTCACTGGGGTGTGTTATGTATTAAAGAAGGTGGTAGCTACAGCAATATGACCAAACTGCTCTTTTCTATGTGACAAAAATACAAAGGGATGGGGCTTTGATTGTACTGCCATGGCTGCCATCTTATTTTTCTTTTTTTTCATTGCTCCCATGAACACCATGTCAAGGACTACTCTGCTAACATGTTTCGTTCATGGTCTTTTATAGCCTAGCCATCATAGTTAGGGTGAGCCTAAGGTGGATGTTTTCACCTTATTTGTGCTTTCTTTATTTTTTATATAATTTTTCCATCTCTCAGAAGTGGAATCACCTACAGGTTCCAGACCCACCATATCCCTGATACCTACTACAATCTTGGCCAGCAATAGATTGTTTTTGGGCTCATTTTAGATGCTAATCAACGTTAAAAAGTAAATACATCTTCTTCTGGTCTTTTGGCTAAAGGAAATTGAACAATAAGTTGCTCATCCTAAACAAATAACAGGATTGGGTTTTTTTAAAACATGGTTAATGCTGTGAGAACAATTCCAGGAAAAAATATTTTTTTAATATAATTTTTGTATAACACTAAAGATTTGTTGTTCTTTACGTCCACCTTTTCTTCTTAATCTAGAAATCTAGAAAACACCTTAACCCTAGCCCTAGCTCTAGCCCTAGCCCTAGCCCTAGCCCTAGCCCTAACCCTAACCCTAACCCTAACCCTAACCCTAACCTAACACAACTGTATGCTTCACCAATTTGTAGAATATTTCTAGGGAACTTCAGATATATGGGTTACAATGCCAGTAGGCCAAGCAAAAAAATTAGAATGAAGATTATGGAGAACATGGTACTCGGGTCAGAAGTGGGGCAACTTAAGGCCCACACCTGCATAGAGGCAGGCCCCAAACCCTCAGAAATTAGGCCCTTGAAAATTGAAACGAACTACTAAGAATAGATGCACAATTTCCTGCTGATTTGTATGCTTCTTGAAAGAATAAGCAATTTTAATGCATCTAAACAATACTCCCAATCCCCGTCCCCTCAGTACCCCTCAGTATCCCCTCAAAAATGGAAATGCCTGGCTCTTCCACAAGTGTAACACTATTACGTTGTGGTTTTCAGTCAATCCCTCTTCCAAAATACATTAAATTAGAAGGGCAACAACTGCTCTACCAAAAGGTGCCTGCCTCTGTTTTAGATGCTATTGTCTGTGAAGTGAATGATGTTTTAACTTGTCAACCATGAGAATAAGGGTGGATACACTATGGACAGCTGGGATGGGAAAACTAATTTTGGCCTTCTAGGGTTCAGTAGATGCAAATCTCAGTCCTGAATGCACCTCTCCCTCCTCCCACCCAGTTCAGCTACTGAAATCTCTAGTTTTAAAATCCATATTGCAGATATAGGCTATAGTTTCATATGAAGATCCCTCACTGAATTTTTGTGTAGTCTGTGCAGTGCTGACTTGTCCTGAACTATCATTTTGCTTTTGCCACACTTAGGACAAACAAAATACATCTCCTAATTCTGAAGTCTGCCTGTGCCTAAAAACTAGATTATTGACTCAGATGGCCACTGTCACTGTAATGGTAATTAAAGGGCTATTTCCACATTCATTCATGAGAGGTTGTAATGTTCACATGTCACTTGTGGCTAGTGGAGAATTCTCTGTTCTTTTGCTATGATCTCAGTTTTCTTTTGTCAATTCAGTTATGAAGTGGCAGGACTTGAATCCTGAAACTATTTTTTAAGAAGCAGGGGCAGGAGCTTGCCTCCCACAAATTAGCCTAAAATAATTATTCTTACAAGAAAAAATTACATAATATCTCAGATCCATTCCTTCTTCCGAATGCACTTTTTAAAACGAATACAGTACAGTAACTTAAATGGCACTTGTGTCAAACAGATGCTTCATGTTAGGAAAATGATATGCATATTTAGATGACAGTAAAAATTGAATTGGCTCATATTTGTATAAATTATGCAAAGCTGATTATGACTGATTGATGGATAATGTTACATTTCTCCCAATTAATTATCAACCAACTGACAATAAAATATACTTATTTCAGGTTTTGTTTACTTATGTATTAATTTACTATCCCAGATGGATCAGCCTGCAATAAATCCCATATTCTATTTTTATTCCCATACTCACGGCAGTTAATGTCAACATTCCTCAGTTTGGTAGATTTCTCAAAATACAATAATTATATTATATTATAATATATAAAATATAATATAAAATAATTTAGCAAATGCGTGCATCTCACCCAAAGTGCTTTGCACAGTTTCAAAGCACTTTGGATGAGATGCACACATTTGCTTAATTGTTTTTAAATATGATCTGGGAAACAAGCATTGTATTTTTAACTGACTGCTCTACCTGTGAGCTGATTAAGTTCTTGGGTTTTAACAGGGCAAATCCTATGCCTGTTTTCTCATAAGAAAGTTGTAATAAGCTCAGGGGAGGTTGGTCTGAACTACTTCTAAGCCTGCAACTTTAGTAGGCTTGACTGCATCTCACCATAGTTTCTGAACAGAAAAAAACATTCCAGAACTGAAATGTTTAGAAGTGAAAACCAAGGCATCCTTCTTTTTACTGTTAATATCTTTAAATCCTTGTGGAGCAGGATCTTGTATAAACAAGTATTTTTGCTAAAAAGTATTTTAGCTTTCAAAAGTTTTACTTAGTTTGGTTTCCCTTTTAGAAATGATTTCTCCTTATGCATGTTCTTGTATCTTGGGAAAAATTAGTCTAGATTTTATGAAGTGCATAAGACTCGTCCATCTCCTGTTTAGAGTAAAATGCACCAAGTGATAATTTTCCAGTCTTTCAAATGCCTTTCAGATGTTTTGAAACTCTAACCTCCCAAATTCATTAGCTGAAATTCTGTTTTAGTTTCCTAGGTAGGAAACACTGTATTATTTATTGACCAAATCCAGTGGCAATATTCTGACTTTGCAAAATAGGTTAATGATTTTGGGGGACTAAAGGGGGCTACTTTGGATGTGTCAGGAATTCTCTCAGAATCTCAAGCCGTTTCAAAACATTTTCAAATCAGCCTGTATTCCTATCTAACAGTGCTCTGCTCCAGGCTATTTATCTGTTTAGCAAGACAAAAAAGAAAAAAGAAAGAAAAGAAAAGCAAAATAGCATGGCAGACATGATACAAAGCAATCTTCTAGAAAAACGTGAAACTATTCTCCAGAACTATTTAAATAGTCTTCTGTTAAAAAGTTGTAGAGTGGAAGTCTATACTTGTACAGATTGTTTCTGTATTATTATAATACATCTTAATTGATTCAGCAAAGCTCTCTCTGGAACATGTTATAGAACTGCAACTGACGTGTTATAACAATTGAAATTTGTTCAAGAGGCTTATTGTAGAGGAAGTTTTTCAATAATTCGTATCATGTCTATGGGACATGTCATACATCCTCTTGATTCCAGTGGGAAGTAAAGGTAGCCAATGTAGCCTAGAATCAAACCCTATGTCTAATTTAAGCATTGATTTTTTTGAATTGCCTAGCATTAATGAAATTTGAAGAAAATATCAACATAGTCTGCAAGGAATTTAAAATTGAAGGGAGGGAAATAACAGTAAATATAAGTCCAACTTATACAGCTAATGAATACAAATGCATAGCAGGTACAAGAAGAACCATAATTACATCTCATTTGCAATATGAGAAATTCAAAATGTTCCAGAATTCCAACCTGGAATTATGCAACATAACTCTTATCCCCTTTGGCTTCTTTCCTTCCTCCTGTCCCCTCTTTACATTTCAGGAGATTTATGCATCCCAGTTCAGTATGAAGGATTTCTATGGATCAATTTAAGCTTCCCATATCTTTATGTGTTCTAGATATATTAGGACTATTGGCTGGTAGGTCTATGAGCTATCATTCCATCCTATTTGGAGGCCATCAAGTTGGTGAAGGCTAATGTTTTTAATATTTTGTTTCTAGGTGGAAGGCAAGAAGAATTAACTTTAAAAATGATTGCATACCATATATGTAGGTATTTTTCCATGGAATATTACATCCGTCTCTTGGTCACCCCCTTCACAGGAATGCTGGGGATCTGATGGTGTGTTTTAAATTGTGCTTTAATGGTACAGCTCTAGTACTTCATGTCTCTCCTCCCTTTCCTGCCCTGCCCTGTGTGTCTTGTGTTTATAATACTCTTTAACATTTTAGGTTCTGATTCTAAAGAAACAGCACTTTTGGTCAGTGATGTACTGTGTAATGGATTCCTTTTAGACCCATTTAGTTTTCTGGATTTTGCAGCAGAAATTAAATAACCAGAATTGGTACCTTTTATTCTTATTAACTTTGTACAGTCCACAAGGTGATGAGGTATTAAAAAACACATTGGTTGTAATGTGTATGTATATATATATAAATAAATACATGAATATATATATATATCAAATGACTATATTGAGGATATTTCTAAATAAAGGTTTGCAAATCAATGTTGTCTGTATCAATTTTTGGGTCTAAGGCAGGGGTCAGCAACCTTAAACACTCTAAAGAGCTGCAAAGGTCCTAACCAGAAGCCCCCCGTTCAGTTCTGGAGCTGACCGGAAGTCCAGTTCCCCCCACCATAGAGTCTCTTCCTATCGCAGGGTCCTTTTTCCTCTACCTGTCCTAACTGAAAGCCCTATCAATTGTGGAGCCAACTGGCAACAAGGAGCCACAGCAGAGAGATGAAAGAGCCACATGCGGCTCCAGAGCCACAGGTTGCTGACTCCTGGTCTAAGGTTACACTACTTCCCACACTATTTGGGTTAGTTTGGTGGGTCAATCTTTGATCTGCCAAGAAAAGTAATGCAACATAGCTTTTTTTCACTCATTTCAATAACTGTCCATTTATTACAGTACTAACAGTAATAAGGAGCAGAAATTATGGTCTCCATAAGTTCAAGCAGGAGTTTTTTTAGTCTCACTTGAATCAGTTAAAAACAACATGGGAATCAGATAAAAAGGCTCCCTTACCTTTGAATTTATCTGACAGGCAGAGAAAACCACTGAAATTGATTTCAATCAAAATTAGGGGAAATTCAAAGTACTTTCAGGTATGGTACTTAATACCAAGTAAACTCAGCATGATCAGTTCTAGTATACATCTCCTTCACTGGAGAAAATTTAAAGAAAAAGGTTCCCATTACCTTATGTAGTAGCCTTGAAAAAGTTCTTTTGGAGCTGATTTTTTTTTAAATTAAAAAGGGCAGATCACGGCTCAGGCCATTTTAATAAATCCTAAATTGGCCTTACTAGATTTTTGTTTGTTTGTTTTCTGAGCTACACTTTGAAATGTAGACAACTGATGGTTTTCTTATTTGCGCCTCCTCTTTTTAAACAACCATGGTACATATGAAGAAAGTTGCTCATCCTTTACATCTGTTCTCATCTTAGAAATATGTGCTCAATACAGAGATGGAAAATCATGCTAGTAAGAGCACAGCATGGGAAAGATATGATCTCTGGTTGGTACTGGACCAAGTGTGTTGGGTAAAAGATGGAGCTGAGTCTTAGCATCATGGTTAAGATTGCCATCTCCACTTTTTAAACCCTTTTTATGGGATTTATGATGGGGTCCTTCTTCCCACCCACCGTTTTTATGGCTACATTAAACTGTTGGGAAATGCCATCTAGGATTTTGAAGTGACATCCTCAAGTCATCCTTTGAATTATAATTTGAACCCAGATCGATTTCTCTTTGCCACCCAGACCAGATGCAGGCTGTACAATGTATTTTGATCCATGTTAGAAAACCAAATGAAATTCTTCCGTCACTATATTTTATTTTTTTCAAAAAACAATATACATGAGCTGTGGTGGTGCAGTGGTTAGAGTGCAGTACTGCAGGCTACTTCTGCTGATCACCGGCTACCAGCAGTTTGGCAGATCAAATCTCACCAGGCTCGAGGTTGACTCAGCCTTCCCACCTTCCAAGGTCAGTAAAATGTAGTGTTGGGGGCAATATGCTGACTCTGTAAACCTCTTAGAGAGGGCTGTAAAGCTCTGTAAAGCGGTATATAAGTCTAAGTGCTATTGCTATTGCTACATTGATGCCAAAGAGGTGGATGAAAAGTAATTAGATCAGATGGTGTGACCTTCCTTTTATCTGTTTCATTGATGGAGCTGCTACAATCAATTAAGAATCTTGGCCCCAATCGCTCCCAGTCATAGTGATGAAAAATGCTTCATCTCATTAATATACAGAAACTGCAATGGGAACAAATTCTTACTGCTTTCCGAGTCTGCATAGTACTTATCTCATGCCGTATGCTAGACAGAGACCTGCCAGTCATGTGCTTGGCTTTACTTATTCTCATAGCAGGACAAAAGCCCCAGTGAATTACCAGTCCCTGGAAAGAACACAGATATTATTTCTTGAGTCTGGTAGAGATGAAGAAACCAGCATTTTATATTACTTCTTAATAAATGGGAATTGAATTTCGAGATAAGTAGGACATGATTTTCCAGATAATAGAAAAATCAACAAGATGGGAAGCACTAGCAACATTGTGGGAAAGATGATTTGTGCATGAGGACATATTTGGGTATTTTGCTTACCTGGAGCACACATAGAGGGCAGAAAGAATGTGTGATCCAGATGTCCAGTCTTGGCCATGGATGGTGGTGTCCAGTAGCCAAAAGGGAGAATCGGAAACAATGTCATCAGAATAAGTCTTCTAAGTACATCTAATGAGACAACAATATGGCATGGTTAGCAGAATGTGAAGATGAGCCTCAGAATTTAAGACTAATCTGAAGAGCTGAAAATAAAAGAGGCAGGATATCTATCTGTTGCACTTCTTTGAAGCTTCTTCTTTAAATAAAATAGATTTAAGCGGATCTATCTATGTGAAACCCATGAGTGGGCATTTTATGCCATTCACTCTATCTGCCTGGGGTTGAACCTGGCACTATCAGTCAAGGTGTTCTAGTACAGTCAAGTTGTTACAGGTGAATTTCTTCAGTAAACAGGATATTTGACTTAGGAGGGTCAGGCAATCCAAAAAGGGGTAATTTCTTAATCAAAGCATAGTAGTTGT